GTCGCCTAGGTTGCCCACCGTCTGAACCGGCCCTGAATCTCAATTCTCAAATCTGAAATCGCAACCGGAGAACCAGAGAAGAAAGAAGTCAAGAACGACCCTTAAATATACTCTTAATTCCTAATCCCCGATTCCCAAATCAGAAATCACAAGAGGAGAATTGGAGAAGAAAGAACGAATAACTGATTTTCGATGAGTGTTGGCTGTTACGGTGGATCAGTGAATGACGATTAGCGAGACCGGAGAGTCGGAGACCGCGAATCGCGATACAACAAGCATCCTGACTCCAGTGAGGTGCGAGTGACGATGGTCGATGGGGACGGTCGGACCTCAGACGGAACTCAGTGGTCAATTCACTTCTTGTCGCTTCAATCTTTTATTTAGAAATTGGACTGTGGAGAAATCGGGAAGGGCCACAACCCAATTGTGAAATTAACAAGTGTATAATAATACTTTTGGAGCAAATTTTGCTAGTTCTAACCCAAATGACAGGGGCCACAGCCCCTCCTGGCCCTACTAATACTCATTCCATAATGGTAGCCATGCATGAGTTTTTGGTATTTTTCCACCTTTTGACCTAATCGGAGTAAAGGGCATGCATGTCCATATCCATAAAGCTTGGATTTATATGGAATATTAGGGTTAGGGGTGGAAGACAACCTATAAAACCAGAGGGGTAAAAAACCAAAATTTCAAAACATAGCAAAATTTAATATTATATACATTTACAACATATTAAAAATGTAAATAAAAAATTTAATACGAAATGTTGTTATATTTGTGAAAATGGTAATGGTTAATCTTTTATGTTTTTTTTGAAGTATTATAAAATGTAAATTATATACATTTACAACATATTAAAAATGTAAATAAAAATATTAATACGAAATGTTGTTACATTTGTGAAAATGGCAATGGTTAATCTTTTATGTTTTTTTTGAAGTATTATAAAATTGTATTTTAACTTTACTTGAATTGTTTTACAAATTTGTAATTATACTGTTAACAACAATTAAGAAATTACAAAATTATTTAATAACTAATAAATATAAAAAACTAACAGTTAAATATATAACTTTTTAGCAAATTAAGTTAAACTACAAATTGAGTATTTCTATAACATTTTCCGCCACACTCCTTGATTTAATAAAAAATCATAAATTAACAGATAATAAATAAAAAAGAATATGACTTATTAAGGTAATTAACTTTTCGGTATGTTTATATCTGGGTAACTATTTTTTTTTTTGTACATATCTAGGTAACAAACTTGTTGGAAGTATTCACATATGGCCATTATGACCTGCTATAGCAGGTTAAATCCTAGATATGAACGTTTTCAACAAGTTTGTTACCTAGATGTATAAAAAAATAGTTACCCAATATGAACAAAATGAAAAGTAAAAATTAAATTACACGAATGGTCCCTGTGGTTTGAGGGAATTTGTGTTTTTGATCGCTAACTTATTTTTTTTAAACTTAGATGGTCCATACTGTTTATTTTTATTGCGCGTTTGGTCCCTGTCTGACCTAAAAAAACTATTGCGCCCTTATTAATTTATTTTTTAATTAATTTTCTTATTTATGTATTTACTTTTTACATATTTAAAAAAATTAATAGACTACACATATTTGTATCTCCCCGGATGATCCCTACTGTTTATTTTTAATTAATATATTTTTTTAACTCGGATGATTCTTACTATTTATTTTTATTACGCGTTTGGTCTCTGTCTTACCTAAAAAATACTATTTTTCCCTTATTATTATTTTTAATTAATTTTCTTATTTATGTATTTATTTTTTATAAGTACATAAACAAGAAAATTAATTAAAAAAATTAATAAGGGCACAATAGTTTTTTAGGTAAGACAGAGACCAAGTTCGTAACATAATTAAACAGTAGGGACCATCCGAGTTAAAAAATTAAATTAATTAAAAAATAAATAATAGGGATAATCCGAGGACATATAAATATGTGTGGTCTATTAATTTTTTTAAATATGTAAAAAATAAATACATAAATAAAAAAATTAATTAAAAAATAAATTAATAAGGGCACAATAGTCTTTTTAGGTATGCGGGGATCAAACGTGCAACAAAAATAAACAATAGGGACCATCTAAGTTAAAAAAATAAGGTAGGGACCAAAAACACAAATTCTCCCAAACCAAAGGGACCATTCGTGTAATTTAATTTTCAATTTTCGTTTTGTTCATATTTGGGTAACTATTTTTTTTGTACACATCAAGGTAACGAACTTGTTGAAAGCGTTCACATCTAGGATTTAACCTGCTATAGCAGGTCATAATGGTCATATATGAACACTTCCAACAAGTTTGTTACCTACATGTGTACAAAAAAAGTAATTACCCAGATGTAAACATACCGAAAAGTTAATTATCTTAATAAAATCATATTCCCTAAATAAAAGGTGTTGCAGCTTTTGGTTTTACTTTCACAGGTTTTCATTTACCTTTCCGTATCATTTTCACGTTCCTATACTTTATCTTATCACATTCAAGAAAAGAGAAAGAGAAACAGAAAGACAGAGAGTGAGAGTGAGAGTGAGAGTGGAGAGGGAGAGGGAGAAAGATTTAAAAAAAACTTTACAAAAGCGGAGAGACAAAGCATAGATTCAGCAACGGCAAAGATGATAGAGGTAATGATGAGCACTCTAGTGGTGGGAGTGATGTTTACCGGTGAAAATTCCAACAAATTTCCAGACTTCGTTGGTGACATTATTTCCCAGTGAGCAATTTTTTAGGTGGCAGAGTTATTCTTAAGTTATGGCTTAATAGTTTATGATTGATTGTGTTAATAGAAAGTAAATTAGAACAATTTTTTGGGTTTATTTGTAGAGTTTTAGTTTCCAAAAAACACGATTTGGTTATGTTTTTTTCCATAATTTTTTTAGATTGTGTTGCATGCTTATTAAATTTCCTTTTCTTACTGATAATGATAAACGGAGGGGCCATAAAGTTAGCTTAAAAAAAAAATAAAACTCATCTTATATATAATAGAGGTATTTATAAGTAAAAAAAAAATAAGAGGGGCCATGGCCCCTAGCCCTATACAAGTTTCGCCACTCATTTGGGTCCCATGAAGCTTACTGACAACCATGAACAAGGTGTTTACGGATTAAGGACTCAACCCATTAAATTGTCCAAATATAGTGACAACGACGTGGCAAGATAGTTGCCATGACATTGTAAATGAAAACATGACGATAGTTTTGTCTGGAATATGCCATGGTGTAGTGACAAGTCTTCCACAACATGGTAGCGGATTTTGATCGTGACTAAGTTGGATAGCCATTATGTGGCCATGGGTTGGCCACGACGTGGAGACAACTGATCGTTGACTTTTTGACATGGTTGACTTTTGGTCAAATTGTTAGTTTTAGAATGTAGACTGAGGTCTAACCATGTGTATTTCGTTAGGTGGGTTGTAGCACCGATTCCACGACTATTCGAGTTGTGGTATATCTGATTTCGAGAGTGATGTGAGTTTTCTCACTATACTATGTAGGACACTAGGTGTCGTATGTGCTTGTTGTATTTGTGACTCTTGATGGGGATGACCATGGCAATTGTAGGAGTGTTGTAAGACTACGTGTTACCAAATTTAATGATCCAATTCAGTAATCAATGAAGTTAATTATAATAAAGGAGAGATGTAGAAGAAGAAGAACTAAAATCAAGCATGTACACATCTATATTCAGTAATTGTCAAGTACATCTTGAGAAAAGTACAACTGCTGCAGAGTTATGACACCAGCAAATCAGTACAATCCGACACAACTCAATTGCTATAAATAGTACTCCTCCTACCAGCATAAGAGTGTGCAGCCAAACACATGTGTGCGGCCGCACACATATGTGTGGCAACACACATTACACTACAACACATAATCACTGCAAAAAGACACTATCATCTATACAAAATGATGCCTAGCTCAACCCACAAAATTATGTTCTTTTAGTCTCCCCCTTGGTTTGAGACTAGCATAGTCTTGTCTTCACTCCTTTGGCTCCTCAGCAGGCTTCTCTAACAACCTCAGATCTGATCTCCCCATTGATCCCATCCACAATCTTCCATTTATAATTGTGGCTACCATTGCAGGGTATTCTTTAGCAGCAGCTTCCATGACATCCTTTCTGCAAATGATTTGATGGCGAGCCAAAGTTCGTATATCCCTTTCTCTGAAGCGGAGAAGATCTTTAGCACTAATCAATCTCAGAATATGTTCTCGATTCTTGAATTTGATGGTTGCAGTAGCTGTTTCGTCATCATATGCCCAAAATTCCATGTCATCTAGATATCCCTCATGAAAATGTTGAGGAATAGGAATTTTCTTTTGTTTCTTAGTTGCAGGCCAGAGTATAATCTTCATGGGTTCGCCTGTTTCTGGATCAAGAACATCTTTGTCCTTTTTATATAGGGCTTTTGCAGTCTTCATTGATGGAAAGTTCTCTTTGACCTGTCTGTCGAGAAATCTTTTGAAATTTGAAGCATTAGGATCTTCAGAGGGGTTATGGAATGAGGCCCTGGATAATTCAGCTAGATCAGTTTTGGTCCAAGAGTTGAAATCATGGGTGCTTTTGTAACATTCAGATGCTCCTGATTTTTGCTTTACAACCCACAAATTCATCACTGGATCAAAGGCCCACATTCGGATGCCTGTCCTGTCACCATTATCACCGAACTTTCTTTTCTTCAGATCTGTTACTGTCAAGACAGGGTCTCTTGTTTTGCGATTTTCATTAGAATTTTTCATGAATAAAAGGCCTTCGCTTTGTTTTGCAGTTACGATTATTTTGCCCTGCTTGATTGTGATTCTGGATCTGCTTCCTTCAGGTTCTTTTTCAAATCTGTCGACAATGGTAGTTGTTCTTGGAACAGGTGGGTCAACAGGTAGATCATCAGTTGCAGGAGGTGATTGAACAGAAGGAGGATCAACTACTCCTTGGGGCTGTTGGAAGAGGGCTTTGACTTTTTCACCAAAAAGCATCGTACAATACGTTCTTGAGATTGAAATAATTAGCTAGAACAGATCCAAGACTCGTTTGTAGATCATTGATTTGTTTGGTCTTTTCTTCATCTTTTTCCCTGAGCTCAAAAATATGTGCAGAAAGCTGATCCATCTGAATTGACTTTTCAATGAGCTGTTGACGGAGAATTCCAATTTCTTCTCGGAGATCAGATGAAGAGGATTTGTCATCATTTGTCCGACCCTCGTTAAATGATATTCCTTTTCCGCGTGAAGAGGTTAGACTAGATTGAGCCAGATGTTTTACTAATCTGATAGAAGCTTCATCAAGAGAAGGTCGTGTTGGAGAATATTCTGGAATAGAAGAGGATCCACCAGTCTCGAACATGGTGCTTGGACCTTCATCAGTCTGCTTTGAAGGAGAGTGAGCAGTGGTTGCAGTGATTGTTGAAATAACTTGAGGAGCACATTTTACAGAGGGTACCTCCAGACTTTCAAGAGATTGGCTTGTTCTTATGGATGTCTGAGAAGTTTGAGGTTCAGATAACATAGAAATGACTGGAGTTGATGTTGAGATAGGTGACACAGAGGGAGGAATCTCTGATGTCACATCTCCTTGACTTGTGGTTTCCAAGGGCTTTGAGGTAGAGAGCAGAATTTTGAGAAAATTTCCTTCATCTCTAGTCTTGGTTGCTAGAGAAGCAACTTCATTGACTTTATTTACACGGCTGCTGGGAATATCAAGAAAAGGATCAAAATCTTCATCATCAAAATCAAACTCTATGTTTGTTGGAATGTCATCATTGATTCCTGTAAAGTCGATTTCTTTCAAAAACTCCACATCTTCATAAAGATCATCGTCATCATCCCCTCGAGAAGATTTTGAATCATTTGCTTTCTGATAATCATGCTCATCAGCTACACAAGTTGTGGGAGAGTGATGAATCTCCTCCACTTCAGGATCGGAGTGAGAGTGATGAATATCTTCATTTTCCATCGTCATGGATTGATCTGCCGATTCTTCTCTGACATCCTCTTTAAAAATTCCAAATTTTATTAATGGAAATTTTCCTTCAAATACGAATTTTCCGCCTCTCTTTTGCTTCATTAATCCAAAGGCACTTGGACCAATGGATTTGAAATCCAGAGTATCATTTCCTCTCTGCAACTCGGGGTGAGTTACGTTAAGGATGATTTGTAAAAATCTTGGATACATACGAAATTTGTCTCTTTTGCTTCCTTCAATATTTAGTATCATTTCATTCATTATGAATTTTGAGAAATTAAACTCAAAATCTGCTGCCAATGCAGCAATGGCACCAGTGTTGCCTAGAGAAATCTCGTTAGCTCCTGATCTCCGGCCAGAAATGCAACTCACGAACACATGAGCCAAAAGCATCCAGCATGGAGGAAGCAGCTTTTTGATTGTAGGAGGAAAAGTTCCTTCGTATCCCATATGCTCTAAAATTTTCTCAATTTGATGAACGTCAATCTCCATGAGGTACTCAGGTATGTCCTCAATTTGAAGAGATTCTCTGATGATGTTTTCTGTTACTAGAATTTTGTTGTCTTCGATTGTTGTTTCCAGAAAATTTTCACCTCGATCATTCTTCTTTACATCATCATTTCTCCAGAAATCCTTAATCAAACTTTGGTAGATAGCAGGATTTGTAGTTAAGCAATGAACCAAGCATGATTTCTTCAAACCATCCACAATGAATTTCAAGTCACTGTGGGCTGCAGGAGGATCTTCAAGAAAAATTGCAGAATTATGAGCTTTAGCAAATTCCATGTCTCCCATTTTAATCTGAAAGGCAACACACAAGATTATTAGGGCAAAACTATGAAAATGATGTAGCCGCACACAAAGCTACATGCAGCCGCACACTCACGTGTGCAACTGTACACAGTCAGCCGCACACATTTATTCATGAAATAATGTGGCAGCACACGGTCAGCCGCACACACCGTGTGCGGTTACCCTTGAAGATAAACAAATTTTTATGATGATTCAACAGCAAACTATATAATAATTTTGTGAAAGTAATTAAAAATTCAGCCGTGCTGATGAAAATTACCGAGTAAAAGCTTGTTTTCACAAAAAACTTAATGGAAATTTAAAGAGTTTGAGAGAGTAAATATGTGTGTGCGGTTGAAGCAAGGAATAATGACTATACGATTTTCACCGCACACGCACACTATATATATGCAAAAATTTTCACTTCCTCCCCCCTTTCCTTTAATTATTTATCCCAAAACCCCTTTCACTTCACAATTTTCTCAAAAATGAATTATTTTGAGGATTAATAGAATATTAATTTCAAAGATTCAAGAAAATTTTAAAATAAAAAATAAATATAAAATAAAAATTTTAAAAAAATAATAATAATAATAATAATAAAATGAGATTGAAAATACTATTGACGACAAGAATCAATTTAAACCTATATAAATTGTTTTAACCTGTTGAGGTTTATGGATCAAAGTTTTTAGAAGTAGATCAATGGTACCAATGGAGGATCAGAGGAAATCAATGGTGGTCGATAGACAACTTCATCTTCTTCGTCCTCACTAGGAATCTTCGAATTGGAAGTAGATCCTTTTTGATTATTTGAAGACACATTGAATGATTTGAAAAGAGATGTGTAGTCAAATAACCAATCAGGACCCACTCTTGCATCTGTCTCATTTTCTTCAAGCCAACGAACATCAAAGGATTCTACAATCTGTTTAGTCTTCTTATTGTAAACCCTGTACGCAGTTCGAGCAGCATATCCAACAAAGTAATAGTCATCGGCTTTGGCATTGAATTTGGGATTGGATTCCAAGTGGAGAAGGGTGCAAGGGCAGCTAAATACTCGGAAATGACTGACAGATGGCTTGTATCCAAATAAAATCTCATACATCGTCTTCATTCTGGCTTTGTTGATTAGTACACGATTTTGAACATAACACGCGGTGTTAATCGCCTCTGCCCAAAAGAATACAGGAAGCTTGGAATCACAGAGCATCGTCCTTGCAGCATCTTTTAGAGTTCAATTCCGACGTTTGGCAACCCCGTTTTGTTGAGGTGTTCGAACAAAACTAAATTGACGCACAATCCCTTTCTCAGTGCAAAAATGATCAAGAATAGTGTTCTTGAACTCTGTTCCATTATCGGTACGCAACGCTTTCACTCGATTTTTAGTCTTATTTTCGATCATCACAATGATACTTTTGATAAGGTCAACAATTTCAGCTTTGTTAGACAGAAAGAAAACCCAAGTGAAACGAGAGTAATCATCTATCACAACAAGGCAGAAAGATTTGCGATTGATGCTTAGAACATTAACCGGATCAAATAAATCCATATGCAATAACTCGAGCACTTGACTTATGGAGTTTATCTGCTTTGGAAAGTGTAGTTTTTGATGATGTTTTCCTTGAGCGCATGAAACACATTTTTCAAAAGTAATGAAATATTTGATGGGTAGCCCGCGGACCAATTCGTTCTTCGCAAGACGATTCAAGTTCTTTGCATTCTCATGACCGAGACGACGATGCCACAACATCGCATTTTGTTCAGAAGCTTTGGAGAAGAGACAAGTGACATCGTCAGGGAAATTGTTGTTCATGTCTATAATGTAGGCATTTCCATCCTGCTTAGATTTTACAAGAATCCAATCTTCAGGGATAACAATGCCAGACTTTAAGATCAGACATTCCTTATCTGTGAAATGAGTAGAGTAGCCCTTGTTGCATATCTGGGATACACTCAGCAAGTTGTGCTTCAGTTCCGGAGCAAAGTTAACATTCTCAAAATTCAACACTCCATTAGAACCAATTCCTCTTTGAGTAATTTTTCCGCCCTCTCCGCCCGTAAAAGAAACATATCCTCCATTAAAAGTTTGAATGCTGTGCAATCGGGATATGTCTCCAGTCATGTGCTGGGAATAGCCGCTGTCGACATACCAAGGTCTGGCGACATTCCTCCGTAACTGTCCCTGCATGATGAACGGAATTAGTTAGTTTTAGGGACCCAGATCATCACAATCCTGGGTTGACCCTTTCCTTTTACAAGTTTTTCATTTGATTCTTTCTTTGCTTTTGAATTAGAGAGTAATGGAGATTGATCTGAAAAAGATTTCGGAATCCACTGAAGGTTAGGTTTTAAAAATTTGTAATTTTGCTTTGAACCGGTGGATTTTGTACTTGAGGAGTTAGAAGATCTTGTCCTGCTCTTTGACAAATTCGACTTAGGCTTAGCTTGAGTTGATTTTGGCAAACTTTTGTTGTTTTTACGAAAAACTTGTTTATTCTTTTGAAATCTTTCGAATTTTTTGTTTAATGTTATATTCAAATCTCCATTTCTAGAACGAGTTTTAGGAAATTTTCTAGTTAAAGATCGTCCCCGAAATTCATGCTCCCCTCTTTTTGTTGTATAAGATACAAACATCCGGTTCATGCAATTTCTTGCAATGTGTCCAGCAGTGCCACAGTTAAAACAAATTTGTTTGTTACCAGTAGCTTTGGCACTGCTGTTGACAGTGTTATTCTTTGCTTTTCCATTTCTAGCACATTTACACTTGCAAGAACCATCATAGAATGTAGTAACAAATGTGTTAGATGCAGAGACATGTAAATCAGGTTTAGCAGTTTGATCAGAAACAACACTATTAGAAACAACATTGTCAGACTGAAATAAAATACCACCCGACACAAAAACATTTGTGTTTGATTTTGACACAGACTCATTACTGTAATTAACACCAGGCGAAATCACAACATTATTTGACTCAAAATTTTCAGCTGCATGCTCCCCCTGAACTATTGATATATCTGCACTTGAAGTAAAAACGTTAGTATGCAAAGTCTCATAACTAGACTGTATTTCCTGCTCAGAAGATGACTTTCCATACACCATGCAAGGTTTTCTGTTAATTTCTTCTTGAGACAGGGGAATAGCAGTATAATTGTGATTAAAAGGAGGAAGGACACTCTCAAAACCTAATCCGACTTTTATTTGATTACCATGAGTGATATCTCTCCAGTTCGATTGACCTTCGATTAATTTTGCAATCTTTTCACTTGACCCATCGTATTTTTTGAAATTAAATTCAGCTTTTTCAAAACAATTTTCAATGTGTCAAGTTCCATGGTTACATCAACAAGTTTTCTTTTGAGATGATCATAGTTCTCGCATTTGTTGTTGTAATCCTCTTGCAATTTTTTAAAGTCTTTTGTTTTATTTTCTAATTGAGTTTTTAAGGGCTTTTGATTTTTCCTAAGAGTATATCCCTCATATTTCAAGTCCTCGTTATCTCTTTTGATTAACTCAATTTGATCTCTCAAAAACTTAACAATTTTAATACAAGATTGAGAACAGCCGAATTCACTAACCTCATATTTGACTGGTTCAGGAGTGGTCTGTACCATGAATGCAAACTGCAAATTCATCATCTCCTCCTCTGGATCTGCTTCCATTTCTTTACTTGCATCCTTGACTTGAGCAAGATTTGCCTTTTCAGGTCCTGAAATGTTTAGGGCCTGAACTTGATCTTCCCAGTTGAACGATTGAGATACCATTGCCATGTTTGTAGATTGATTGTTTGAAAATGATCCTCTGTTGTTGTTGTGAACATAAGTTACTGGCACCATGGTTCTTTCAAAGTTTGCTCGCTGATCAGGTTTTGGACATTCCCTTGCAAAGTGTCCTGGTTCGTGACAATTGTAACAACATAACTTTCCTTTGCTAAAACCCATCTTTTTATCTGAATTTACACCCCAGTTGTTCTTTCCAGTCTTTTTTGAGAATTGTTTAGCCCTGAATACAGCCATTTCCATTTGCCAAGTAATATCCATCTCTTCCACATCTTCAGGATGGATTTGATCAAGATCAGTGAATGAGAGTTGTGGAGAGAGGTCTCCAACAACAAAAGCATTGTAGCAGTTCACTAACCTAGTAGCTAGAGCGATATTTTCCTCCTTTTCCTTTGTAAATGAACTTTGGGAACCAATTCCATGAGATTGAACTGAAACATCTGTGGAAGGAATAACACTAGAACCAACTTGAGATATGGTTTGAGGGATTTGAGTTTGTTGCATTTTAGGTATGATGTATGGTATGTTTTGATGGACTGCATCAGGTTGAACTTGGGGAACCTGGATTTGAGTATTTTGATGAGTGGTGAAGCTTGAAAAAGCGGTGTTGTTGTTTTGAATTCCAAGATTGGCTGAAGAGTACAAATTGACATGGTTGATTTCTCTTTGTTTATCATCAAGATCGCAAGCTTTGATGATTGCCATTGTTTCAGAAAAGCTTAAACGGTTCAGGTCTTTTGTCTTTTTAATCACCGAGACATTCATGTCCCATGATTTTGGAAGAGAATTTAGTAATTTCTTGTTGATTTCAGACCTAGTAACCATCACACCTGCGGAGCTCATTTCAGTGGTTAGTGTGATAAATCTTATTGATTTTCCAATGTTTCTCCCAATACATAATTGAACATGTTGAATTTATGTTGGAGCATGTCTTGTCGGCTTTGCTTCATGTCTTTATTTCCTTCATAAACTTCTATGAGCGCTTCCCACAATGCTTTTGCTGATGTATATTCACGATGTGCAATTTCAGGAGACAACACCATAGTGAGTGTGGCAAGTGCCTTTTCTTGTTCTTCAACTCTTTCAAAATCATCATCAGTGTAATTTTCAATCTGTTTGTCAATTACCGTGCCATTTTCTAGAGTAGAAGTAATCCGAATTGGTCCTCTTAAAATGCTTCTCCAAATTTTGAAATCCTTCATTTTGATGTATTTTTCAATT